ATTATTATTATTATTATTGGAATATGTTTTCTCAGCTAATGAAAGGAAATATTCATTAAATGCACTTGCGATAGCTTGTGGATTGTTAGTGGACTTTCCTTCAATATTCAAACTTTGTACGTCTTCATTAACAGATTTCTTTCCTGATTCAACTTTCACAATATCCCAGGTGGTTTTAATTTTATTGTTTGATTTTAGAATTTGGCTGTTATGTAAACAGTTAACTCATTACTGTTATAGAATGTTTCTACATTAATCACTGTTAAATTGCAGTAAAGTACTGTGAAACCCCCTTTCAAAATCCATCTGGGGATAATTACTTCAATATTAAATCAAGATCTGAAACATACATAGAAATTTTCATTAGTAAAATGTGGGTAAGTTCTTAAAATGTTGAAACACTAAATTGGGGAAAATAATATATTATTTATACAGTTTCATATGGTACCATAAAAAAAAGTCATTTAAACATGGGAATATAAAATTGGGTTTTCACTGTGAATAATTTTGACACAGAAGACTTCTCATCATATACTGTACCCAAAACAGTGGACACATAAGAACAGCATACTGCTCTCCAATACGTAAGCCATGGAGAACCCTCAGACTGTCTCCAGTGGAAGAATGGCAAGCCAGCATACAGCTTTGCTTACATGTACCACAAGCGAGCATTGTTCAGCAAGGTTAAGAGAACATAAATTATTTACCTTCAAGGTGTTACTGCTTTGACTGAGGGCAAAACACTTTTGCAAATTGGGACAAAGGTCACATAGTGCCTGCAGGAATCGTGCTATCATAATGATACTACCAGGGTTTACTTTCTTCTCCCCCACTTCAGTCAAACACTGGACCTTGATGAACTGAATCAACCTGGAAACAAAGAATCTCATTTCATGTACACAAAAGATCTTAACTAGGGTTCACACCAGTCTCTCTTCTCCTTGTGCCTACTAGTAATCTCTGGGTTCCTTACAGACCTATATCTGAACATAACTTTTATGGGCTCACTCTTCTTACTGCATGGTTCTTGCTTGGTCTACTCTCTAACCCGAAGACGGAGGCAGTACATTCTTCCGAAATGTCTAACTTCTACCGAACTACATGGCATTACATTAAAGAAGATGCATATTCAAATGCATATTCCTTTGCAAAATGACCAATTCATATAGGAAAGCAAGCAATATTGCAGATGGGGAGAACTTCCTCTTATATGTGCATGTCCTTTGGGTTCTGGCTATTTAGTGCCCATTCCTTTCTCATTTTAATGCATATAACTGAAACATTAATTTAAAAAATTTTAAATTTTCATCAAGATTTAGCTGAAACCAATTTATAACTGATGATTACTGTTTTCTGGGATGCAATGCCATGTAGTCTGGGTGATTGTTACCAACATTACAGAATCTGCTGCTTCCATTTTCAGGGTAGTCACCCTTCTATCCTTAGGAAGAAGATTGCAGGTTCCTCAAAAATGCTGGTAACAATCTATCAGATTACATGGTATCACATACCAAGAGACAGTACTCCTCACAGTGATTGCTGTGAGAACCTCAAATCTTTCAATCTGAAATTAATTATAAGAGGCTTCAGGGTCACACAGTGGTCAATCTTCAGACCATGGTCTCATAGGATACACTGCTCTGTTGTCTAGTAGATCAGCATGGTAAATTCCCCATTTAAGGTTTTCTTTGGGAGCAGTGGATTTGAACTCTAAACTGAGAAAAGTTTTAACTAATGTAATTTTGCATTCAGGCTAATGACTTCCAATCGCTGAAACTGAACACTAAAGAGGGGAAAAGCTTAAATCAAGGAATATTAAAAGGGGGTGCCACTGCACCAAGGTTATAGAAAGCATCGTACAGGAATTTACTGCCAATATGTTTCAGCAATGTTTTCGACAGCTATATGAACGTTCGCAGACATGCATAGCGGCCAACGGCAACTATTTTGAGGGCCGATGTGGATCTGCATAAGTGTATGTGAATACCTTGTAATATGATGTGATAAAACCACATTCCACGAACTTAATGACTCTACCACCTATAATCATTAATGGTAATGACATTCATGGACAATTACAAGTAATCACATGGACAGGAAAATCATGAGAAATCTCAGCCAGGGTACCTGGTACCCCAGCGACAATTCTCACTAACACCTGAATGCAAGTCTACATTACTGCTAGGCCATTCTATCCAGAAACAATGTCCAGGCATTCCCCAACATACATAATAGATGCATTATTCCTGAGAGTGGTCACATAACTAAAAAATTTCAGTTCCTTTTTTTTCAATTCATTCATCTTTCAATGTAAAATACACAATTCAACCATTAATTACTCTAATTATTAGATAAATAACTTAATAATTTTCAGTCTTCACTAAGAAAAATGAAATTAAAGAAGTTTCATATGAAATTTCATTAATGTGAAATCTGCCTAAGTCAAAATCATGTAAAGTCAGGGGGAATACCTGCATGTGAAAAGTAAGCAAATTCTATATTGGCAGTTTAAAATCAGTACAACTCACTGCTGAATGTTCTCCATGCTACATGTCTTTAGATGGTCCTGTAGCTCATTTCTATCTGTCAACTTGTTTGGGGCCACAACGCTGTTCTGCAGATAATGTTGCAGATCCTGGAGTAATGCTAAGAGCTGTGAGTCAAATTCAGCACACAGGCCTTCCACACATGGTGAATAGCCTCTAGTTTTCATCAGCAAACCTAGAAGTTGTATATGGCAAAACATTTGTAACTTTTACGGACAGCAACCTAGAAAAGTACAGAACACACTGTACAGCATACAAAATTACGTTTGACATTCTGTCAAAAGCACGCCACAATTTAAGTCACATGTTTAAACTATTTCTGAAACATAAAATTAAGACATACTACTCCAAATCATTGATACCATGTATTCAAATTTTTAAAAATGATTATGAGTCTACCTTAAGATTGCAAAAGGTTAAAGAGGGATATTATAGTTTAAATAGCATTACTTGGTCCTATTTAATGATATTCCTATACATAATATCTGGAAATAAAGGATTAAAATATGTTTCATTACTTTTTTCCCATCCTTTCACATAAACAAGTTTCTGACAGTTTTGTTTTTACTGTTTCCTTCAAGTTCCTTCATTTTCTTTCAGATATTCATGTTTCTTGTTCCTTAAAGTTCTACAAGCCTCATGTCTTACACTGCCCACTCACTCGTGGAGCTGAGCTCTTCTTGAGTCTTGAGAAGCCGCAAATTGTACAGCTATTCAAGAACTTCCCAGCATTTTCTGGAACCCGAAAGCTCATTATGTTGTGGGAATCTGCAAGCAGATCACTATTCTCATCCTTCACTAAGTTACTTCTAAGTTGGTAACCCCTCTAAAAGTCATTTATTCCTCTAGATGTATAGGTCTCTAATGTTCTTATTCTTGCTGTTCATTGCAAATTCATCAATTCTGTCTTTCATATATTCCCTCTTTCCATTCCTGATATGCCTGCTGGTTTCATGTCTTATATTGTTTGGATTACACCAATTTACTTTGCTTGGATCCTGTAACCACTGCAATTTGGCTTGTTATCTTTGGCCTAATAATTCTGAGCATCCTTCATCGAACCATGACTTATGCTTCTTCAGGTCATAATAACCTAGACTCTCCTTGGCAGAAATTTTGATATTCTCTCTAATTGTTTCCCAAGCTTTATCAACATCTACCTCAGTGTCTTAAGTTTTCCAAAGCCGGGAACCTATTTGAAATTTAAACACGATACTGCTCTTTACCCTCTACCTCATTTAATTTCTTGAGATTGAACCTCTCCATATGAATTCTGTGCATTGTTTACTCACCGCCAGTCTTTCTTTAACCTTTGCCACCACCAAGTAGTGGTCAGTATCACAATCTGCTGCCCTGAATGATTGGATATCAAGTGTACTTGAATGTCTTCTCCTGTCTATCAAAATATGGTCAATTTGACTGTGCATCTTCCCATCAGGAGATGCCCAAGTAAATTTATTAATGTTATGATGTGGGAACATTGTAGTTTTGACAGTACAATTTTTCGATGTGGCAACTCCATTATCATTACTAATTTCATACACACTCTCATTCCCAACTGGTAGTTTGAAAATGTCTTCCCTGCCTATTTTGGTATTGAAATCTCCTAACAAAATTTTCATATGGTACTTTGGAAATTTGTCAAATATAATTTCTAGTTCTTTGTAGAACCTGTCCTTTATATCATCAGTTTTATTGTCCATTGGAGCATAAATATTCAGAACAATGATATCACACCAGTGGCCTCTTAGTATTATGTATGACATCCTAAAACTAATGAACTCTACCCTCTTAACTGCTGATATGATTCTCTTATGTACGAAAATATATTCACAGCTTCCCTCCATACTTGGAGGGTGTCTCCTCCATCCACAACCTGAGGACATGCCATGGCGTGGTGACAAGGGTCCCACCTAACATGGTCTTTCACTGCTCAGATTAGAATAATGAGTACTGGAAACTACTGCTGTTACACTGAAGCACTTATATACTCTTACACATTTCCAAGCAATTATCAACCAAATTTTCCAAAGCCACAAACCTATTTTAGATTTTAATGAGCCACTGATCTTTAACAACCATGTCATTCAGCTTCTTCAGATAAAATGTTTTTATTTATTATGGTTATACTTTACTAGTTTACTCATTAAAGTCTTGAACTAACTTCTGAAAATTCCAGATAGTGGTCAGTTTCAAACTTTCAAACCCAGCTCTTTTAAAATATTATTAATAATAAACAACTGAAGAAAAATGTGAGATTTGAGGTTCTCATATTGCTGACTATGAAGATTAGTCTTTTGTGATGTGAAGCTATGTAGTCTGGTACATGTTTACAGACACCTAACAAATTGCATGGTGTCACATCCTAGAAGGCAGATGTTTTCATCTAAAGAAAAACCTAAGGAGCAATGAGGAAATTAGATGTCAGTGTTACCCTCAATGTAATAAGTAGTGCACCCTTATTATGGGTGAGCATTTTTTATGAATGCACAGAATACAGTATATTATAAAGTTAAATCTGAAAATTTACAGAAACAGCTTTTTCAAAATAAATAATACACTGATTATTATATTGTAATAAGCTTTAAGGATCATGTTCAGCATGAAAGTACATAAGGAAGTATAAACCAGTTTTCATCTGAGTAAGTAAGGAAAATTCATTTGTGAATCATCTTTCCATCCAGGATATAACATACTACTTCACCTCTCTTTTGCTGCTGATCCTGACTGTTCTCTCCCTGAGGAAGATCACTGCCCCATTCCTTCCATATAAACCAGCGGAGATCATGCTCTGGTTGGCTGCTCCTGTCCATAGAGGAAAATTCATTATCCATTACAAAAGAAATGTTACATGACAATGATAACTATGCACTGTGCGGTAACATTGTTTATGCGTGACCTGGCACATCAAAAGCTTCACTCTAGTTTTCATTAAAATCAGTCAATGCATTATCAGCAAAGGACAGACAGACACACAGACATGCTCACAACCTCTTTCCTCATACAATAAGGAACACAGGGAGAAAAGAGAAACTGCTTTGGGGCTCATTATGCAGCAAAACAAATCAAATGCAGTGATTTCCCTGTCCTTAATTAAGCACCATACCATAAAGACATATGGCAGAGTGGAAGTACAGCTCCACACATTCATGACCATTCCACTAGAGGAATGTGAGTAAGCACCTTCATGCCCTGGCTGCCTTATCCTCGGGGAAAGCACTTCAATGCCATTTTCACAATAGTCTGCAGGCCCCAGAGCCAGTATGAAAACTCTGGAGAAAAGGAAGTCACTTGTTCTTGCCAGGAATCATACCCTGATCATTCCCCTGTTTAGCCTATAGCCTAGTTACAATACTGACTGAGCTCTCCACCTCACAGTGAAGCAAAACGACATAATTTTATTCCTATCTCCAGCATTCTTTGTAGGCACCTGCTTTATCTTAAAATATCCTGGGATATAACATCATGCAGTATGTTGAAAGTCAACAAATGTTTCAGAGGAAGATGTCACCTCAATCTTCAGGGACAAAGAATAAGCCAAGCAAGAAAACAACAGGAAGACGGCGACACGACACTTCACCCGAAATGTCAGTTGTCTTTCAACAGAACACACAGCATTATATTCCAGAAGTTATAACTGTTCATTATCATTGCTGTGTGAGCCTCGAATGCTACACCATTCTATTTTCATCTTGGTTTCACATGAGTATTATTTGTACTTGCACAGTAAAAATGAAACACACCGCATACAAAATTTAGTATGAAATGCATAACTCACTTTTCCTGTGTACTGCCCTGAGTAACAGTGGCAAGTGTAGACTGCAGCTGTGCAAGGGCTGTACTCCACTGCTGGGATATAAGGCACTTTGCCCTTTGGGTGATGAGTGGCTGGAAATAGGCATCCCATAGATTCAGACTGCGAGGAAGCAGCAGCTGCTGGCACATGATGTCCCAGTTCCCAACTGTTCCAATGCTACTAGCTTCCTCACGTATACTATCTAGGCCCTGTACCGAGCTCACCAAACTCAGCAGTGATGTCACTTGCTGCTGGACAAAGTCCCGCACCCAGTCAAGCCAACGAGTCACATTCTCCCGAATGTCCCCTGGTGACACTGGATTCATTGGTTCTGCTGTGGAAGGCCTACCAACATAAATGGTAAAAGGTAAAGTTGTCTAAGCATTATGCCATTAAGGCGTATTGGGAAGTGGATGTATAGATCCACATTTTCCTTGACCTCAGGTTGGAGGTGAGTGGTCAGCTTCACGCCCCAGCTGCTTTACTGCCAGGGAAAGAGCCCCTGGTACCCACTGGATATGAGGCTGCGTGTGCCACCCAGCTGTTCTGGATGACGTGGAAAAGAGAATTCTTGACCCCACTGGGACTTGAACTCTGACCCCTTGATAATCCAGGCCACTGCCAGTTGCTATTCTGACTAGACTAGTCTATCCTGGCTCGCATCAACAAGAGTGGTACAGTAAGAAAGTAACAATACGGCTGTGTGCACGCAATGTAACAAGAAAATGTATGAACAGAGAGAGACCAAAGAAACGGTCAAATGGGTAGCACTCCTCCTTCACATTCAATAGATCCTGGATTCAAATCTTGTGGAGACTGACTACCCTCACTCAGGTGTTCTGTGGTTTTATTCACCCTTCCAGATATATGTCAGGATATACCTCAAATTAGGCCTCTAATATTTCCTTCCACATCTTTCCCATTCAGCACTGACAAATCATGAAACCTTTCAAAGCCGAGCTACCAGCAGTACCATTAATTAAACCATACATGATGAAAATGCATGCAGACAGGTCCAAACAAATGCAGATACAACCAACATGACTAACACTCTGTTCAGGACAGTAGGCCATCAGGCTAATGATCCAGCAAACTACAAATTTTGGTCATGTTTCTTCCACCTAGCATCTTTTTCGTGAATTAAGCTGTTCATCTGTTCGGACTCTATCCACAATTCTGAAAATTCCATTTTAAAGCTTTCAAGAGTACAGGGTATCTATAACATAACTGTGCACCTCTAAGCTGCATTAACTCTATCATAGAGCTACTGTTATGATCACAGCACACATATATGTACTAACTTGGGAGGGCCAGTTTTCCAGCTGCCCCGAGCACCCAGGCCACTACTGGATCCACTGTCCCCCTAGAACTTGGTGGGGACGTTCTACAAAGGCCCATGACCATAATCCTAGAGCCAGAATCATCTCGAACAAGGCCCTCATAGTATATGTTAGCTATAACCATAGACAGTTGATGATCTTCAGCCTATGCCTAGCTGATAATTACACCACACAAGTGACCATGACATGTAAAGCTAGCTGCTTTAGACTGATATATTGGGTTTCTGGACTTTATCCATCGTCCTGGTTTTTAAGATAACAAATAAAAACACGATGTTTCAGAAACTGGATCTGTTTCCGTCCTCAGGTGAGAGAAAAAGGGGAACACCTATTCTGTTGGGTCCGATAGAAAGAGCTAGCCTCAATCACTGGATCTCTCACCTGAGGACAGAAACAGATCCAGTTTCCGAAACGTCATGTTTTTATTTGTTATCTTAAAAACCAGGACGATGGATAAAGTCCAGAAACCCAATATATCAGCGTGTTATACACCATCGTCAGAATCCTATAGTAAGTAGCTGCTTTAGGTTATAACATTACAATGCACATGATTTTCAGGTTCTACATTTTATTATGACATCTTAAACAAGTAAGGGACTTAAAGAACATTCTTTTTGAAAATAGAAATGTTGAAAATAACTGTCTTATTTTTAAAATAACCACAGAAGTGTCTCTCCACTGACATTCTAAAACCCATCCTTACTTCATGTTGTGAAAAATGGTACCACCTCATGTACCACAGTGTAATGCATACATTTATGAAAGGTCCAGGAACCACTGTTCCATGAAAAATGTGACATATGCTGCGGTAACGTCGATGCGCCAAACTTTCACAATCTGATATTCTAAGACTGGCATCAAACACTGAATAGACCTTCTTGCCTTACCTGAATTCTTGAATAAGTGGAGGTAAAAACTTTGCAGCTACTGAGTCTTTCAAATCAACAAGATTGATTGATGGTGGGGCATCACGTCCCACAATGCTCTTCAGCTGTTTCAAAACTAATCCTTCAGGGTTGGATGAATCTTGGCTGTCATCTAAGACACAAAACACATTTCAATTTTTTCTGCAATCACAAGTTAAGACCAATGAAAGAATGGTATATTACTGCTGTGAATTCATCCAGCTGGTGTGGGAACGCTCGAGAAAACATTCAGAAAAACACATACGAGTACAATAATATAGCATCATACAAAATATTGGGAGGATGATGACATGGTACTTCCATATTACGAGAATGGCATGGAAAGTTGTGCATAACCCCTCCAGACTGAGAACACACAGCTGTGGAAGTCAAAATATTCAAGAGGAGGAGAAGAGGGTGCAGGGAAGGATGAGGAAAAGGAGATGGAATAGGAAGGCAGGAAGTGGAAAAGGAAGAGAAAAGAAAGATGGAAGAAGAGAAAGAAAGAGAAAAATGAAAAGGAAGCAGAGCAGGAATAACAAAGATGATTCAAATGAAGTATAAGAGGTGAATGAGGGAATGGAAATAAAGAAGGGCTTAAAAGATGGAGGAAGAAGAGGAAAAGATGAAAACAAACAGGAAGAAAAAAAAATTGGAAAAGAAGATTGAGGAATAGAAAGAAAAGAATAGTTTTGCAGAAGAAGAGAAAAAGGATAACAAGAAAAAGCAGAAAGGGTAAGAAATGGACAATAATGAAGAAAATGAAAAGGTTTCTTGAAGAGAAAATCTAGGATGTTACACCATGTAGTCTGGGAGAAATTTATCTATGTCTTGGAGGCATGTACTGTCTTCAGGGACAAAGAGAAAGCCAAGCAGGCATGCAGGATGCAACCAAATTACACAGCATTATCATCCCACAAGATAGTACTCTTCATAATCATTATTGAGTGAACCTAAAATCTGGTACATAGGCCTTAAGTCCAAAAAAAAAAACAATAAAGATCCTTATTTAGTGAACTGAATGATAAATGGATAAAGTTCAGCAGCTTAAAGCCGAACACTATACGCCTGATGATGGCCTGATAGAGGAGCCAAAACGTCGCGTCCATAAACACTTTAGTAAAACAAATGTTGATACAGTAGCGTCTTCTTTGTTTTAAAGTACAGAGTGTTGTTGTGTAGATGGTATATTCTTGTATGCTTTATATCTTATGTGAGACACACAACAGGATGCAAAACTATTATGAATATACTTTTGTTGCTGGTATGAAAGACTGACATGTTTACAGGAAAATGAACTGGTACTCTGCATTGGTACATGATCAACTTACATAAAATTTCATTACATTTCCATGTTTACTAAACACAAATTATTTCAGCTAGACAAATTCAAGACTTCCTTGATTAACTCACCAAGAAAGCAGGCATGAATTAGATGGAGAGTGTGCATGAGAAGCTTCAAACTTTTACACACACGGACCTTCACACTATCATGCCCAGCAGACTGCAATACATCTTGAAGAGCTTGTTTGTGCAGGTCCAGCAGTTTATTCAGCAGCTCCAAGGAGTTCATGCCTTGCAACAAAACCAATGTGCTCAAACAGCTCGATGCATCCTGTAATGAGCAAACATATTATTAACACCACATTCATACTCTATCAGGCTTGAGGGAAAGTTTAACTGAAGAGTTCTATCTTCTGGGATGCAAAACTATGTAGCATGTTTCTCAGCTTTTCAGGAAACACACTGCCTCCATCTTAAGGGTCAAAGAGTATGCCAAACAAGCAACCAGCACTCACCTTTTAACCTTACATTCCTCTGAAACACGTGGCTACAGCTTTTGGGTATATGCCATGTAGAATTCTGAAGGCTTTCCAACATTTTGGCACGCCTTGCCATTGCCATCTCCAGGGTGTGTGTGTGTGTGTGTGTGTGTGTGTGTGTGGTGGGGGGAGACCTTTTACACAAGTCAAATTAAGCAATGTGCCAGAGGTGAAGTGTTACTGGATGAATGGAAGAATGGTTTGCTAATCCACAGGCAGTGACCACATGATCAGTGAAAAGATATGACAAGAAAATTTCTTCTTCTCCTCCCCTTCACTCCTCCTCCTCCTTCCTTCCACATGGATAGGAAAGGGAGTTCAATAGTCACTGGATGAAGGTGGCTCAGTGGTGGATTTGGATCAGGGGTGACAGCAGGTTTTACTGTACCTGTATCCTTTTTCATGGACAAAGTTATGCTGGTGTTTTATTATTTTGATGACTCCCCTCATGACTGGCAGATGACATGACATGACATTAACATAACATAACATAACATAACATAACAACATGGCATGCCACGGCACAACATAACATAACATAATTATTTCTGATATTAAAATTGTTGCACTTGAAGAACCTTACTACTCATATGCATATTAAGAAGCATAATGGTTGGGGCATGCCTCTTATAAAGACAACCAAAATCAGTCAACCATTAAGATTCCCTTATACATTCACATGAAGGGTCTGATGACGCCATAAGTCTGATGCTGAAATACACCTTAACTTGACATATATAATACTGATATTTGACTGAATTGTGTAATTCATTGTTACTAACATTTGCATACTATAAAAAAGTGGCTGGAGCATAACTTAAGCCAATATTCTGGCATTTGCCTGGAAAAACTGAAGAAAACCATGAAAGAACTCAGCCTAGCCAGTCTCTGGAAATATTGAAATCTGAAACTGGAAACTCCCAAATATGAAGCAGAAGTGCTAAACATTGAACTGACATTTGGTGCCACATGTTCCAACCTCAGTATCTGTTTGAGGTGAGAGGCACTTAATTTCCAAAATCATGTCTGCCTGTACTCTAATTCCTGGTTTTAGCCTTAAGATTGATACAAAATGCATCAGAGGGTATGCAACTTTTGACAAGTTTCCTAATACTTATAAATTGTTTGTTGGTATGCATATCAACTGAAAAAAAAAACTGGTGGCCAGCAACTTACTTCTGTCTACAACTGTGTGTCTCAGGAAACAGCCGATGGTACCCACAGGACAGGAGGATGGGTGGGCCAAAGAGATGATTTTTAGACATGGGTAAAGTAAAAAAAAGTAAAGCTATCCCTGTAACAGGCCATGAAGGCCCATAGGGTTGCGAGACGTTGAGTGTCCCACACTATTTAGACAATCGGCTCAAAGATGGCGGTAAGATTGTCAGCCCTATGCGTCAGCCACACTTTACTCCCCAGGAAAATTATTTATTTAATTCCTGGTACTAATTTCTGTTAGAGGCTGAGTGAACCCCAGGGTCATAGTGCAGCCAGAAGGATTAGGTCAACTGAAAAAATCCAATGACCTCATCAATATTTGAACCCAGATAAAATCCCTGCTCCTGTCACAAATCAAGTCCCAGTCCCATGTATCATCTGGGGCTGGTACAATAGGCCAGAAGTGGCTGCAGTACAAGGGACTTAGTCCAACCCCACTAGCAATAAAAAAAAAACAGTTCCAAATGCTGGGTTGTTCATGTACGACATATAATTTACTTCCGACTGTCAACCCCCTCCCCAGACTAAATATTTCACCTCACAGTTCAATGTATAGTAGGGCTGCAAACTTCAAAGTACTGAGGGTGCACAAGCACATGAATAAGAACTAGACACATACAGTTCAAAATCATTTACACATGTTAAATGTTACCAGATATATGGTACTTAAAAATCAGATGCTAAACATTTACTAGATTCTATCAACATCTTATATGACTCTGGAGTCATGGAAATTCAATATTTTATTGTTACAACAAAACAAATACAAACAAACTCTGTGGCCTGTAGTGTGCAAGTGAACTATACCAACCAAGCGACTGCTGCTTGTTGGCTAATTTAGTGCCAACTTTTGCATATAGAGGGTGTCACGCGGTCGCCACAATGGATCCCCCCCCCCGGCCGTTAATCTCGGTTTTCTAGATCGTTTAATTGTTGCATGTCGTGCAAAAGCAATCAAAACAATATGTAGAATACTTAGTGAGAACTTTCTGTCAAGTTTCTCCAATTGCAAGTTCCACGGCCTTTGTTTAAAGAAAAGGAAAGTGTCACCACACATAATGGGATATCAAAGGATTCTTTTGGTCAAAAAAAAAAAAAAAAGCCAGCCAGCTAGAAGCCCTGATGTACAGAACATTTCAGTGATTCAACACTGAACTGCCTTCATTGGTACAGCAAGACAGACTTATAGTAAAATTAAGTGTAAGACCTTCTGACCTCTGGAGATAAGGTGAGAGACTGCAGCATATTCTGACAGCCAAAGAGAATAGCACTTTGGAAGTGGCTGATGGTACTCCACTGCCTTGATATCACAGGAAACCACAGCATCACCTTGCTGGAGTTCAAGACATCATCTACACCTGAATTTAACTGCAGACCTACACCATGAAACCACAAGAGCAAGGGCTTTCATAAGTTTACCCTGTTAAGTTATGTGACTGTATGCAGAAATAAAAATCCCTTCTATTAATAATGTGCAGTACAGTAAACTCTCAATTATCCACTTTGTCTTTTAACTCTTAGCTGTTGAATACAGCTTCCCACAATCATTTAAGTGTTGCTCATTACATGTTTCAGTAATACGTACCATTGAAGTTCTACAATGATTTGCAGAAGCCTACATCTTCTTGCTCTGTTGTAACTTCCTATATTATTATTTCATTGCTTCCCACACTGGTCACTAAACAAGGGATGCTTTCTCCTATTAGAAACAATCTTGTTTCATTCTTAGAGAATAGTACCATGATCAGTTTGGAAAACTGAGTGACTTGAAGGATTAAAAGCAGCATGAAAAGCTGGCATTTCCTGGTGGATTATTCATTGTTTTTAAATATCCATGCTACTCCACCCACCCATTACTGCAGACAATTGAGAGCTCAAATTATGTCGTGAATCGCCATTTTTACCGGAGAAATTTCACTCACCTGTGTTAATGTGGCATGCAAACAAAAACAACTGAGCACCCAATATATAGTTTCCTCCTTCAACAGCGCTCCAAATTTGTTCTGGAATATCCATTAGAATTTTTATTTGGATGGCAACAGAATGATAAGCTTTATTCACTGAAACCCTGAAAATAAAAATATATATATACCAAGAACAATTAGTTCCTGCACTTCTGGAAAAAGATTCTGTAAAATGTGTTGCCTCATGACAAAGCATATATTATTAAAAAAAAGTAAAGCTATCACTGTAACAAGTCATGAAGGCCCATAGGGTTGTGAAATGTCAAGGCTCCCATATTTTCTAGAAAACTGGCTTGTAGATAGCAGTGAGGGTGTCAAACTTATGTGTTGGCCGCCCTTTACCCCCAGCAAGAATCTTGGTACTCATTTCTGTTAAAGGCTGAGTCAACCCCAGCATGTAGTGCAGCTGGAAGGATCAGGTCAACTGAAAAATCCAATGACCTCGTTGGGAATTGAACCCGCAATCTTCTGGCTTGTAGCATAGTGCCTCAACCAACTATGCTAAAGTGTGCCACCCCCTTTGCATATTTTGTTACTGACCAGAAATAACATCATCCTTCTGCTAAGTGCAGCAGAACATGCAATAGTCTGTACATTAAAACTCTCACTGAATTCCCCATTTAAGGTTTCTTTCTGGTGCAGGGGATTGGAATGCTAAATGAGGAAAATCCAAATTGAAGGAAACTCAACACTGAGATTACTTGGTAACACTGAAATTGAATGTTTTATGAGAGAAAATCTTAAACTGAGGGACACTAAATGGCAGTTCCACCATATCTCCAAATGCATTGTAGCCATAGAATTTGAATATTTACTTGAAACACTTAAAATGATTAATAATATAATAACAATATCAGTCATTCATATAAACATCAAATAATTTAATTAGTTTAAGGGTTTATACATTGTTCAAGTATCTAATTATATTCAGTTTCAAGCTTGGTATATGGCCATCTTTTTATATTAAACATTATGACTTTCAATATCATATTGAGACCTGTTATATACATTACAAAACAGAAACATTCCACTCTTTCAGAGTTATTTCCAACCTTCTTTTTCCTTTCATATGATAATCATATTTGTCTCAAACATAATGACTATTTGCATACAGTACAACAGTCAACTGAATACTCGTACAGACCTTTCAGTTTTAGAACTGCTTGGATTCAATTTGAAGCCTAATAGGTGTTTCTGCTGTAGCTGTAGGCACTTGCTGCTCATGTTCTCAATATGGGAAATTATGCCCTCCGCAGTTTGTTTCATGTCTGCAATTCTATCTGCAGCTTCAATTAGATCCCTATACCTTTCACTGAAATAAAATTTAATGTAGTATAACACATAACACCTTCTCTCCAGAAATGTATTATTTTTCAAGATAAAACACCCAGATGAACAGAACAAAATTATGTAGGATCTGAGGTTCCCACAGCCATTGTTATGAAGAATTATAACTCATGGGATTCTTGTGTAGTCTTGTTTCTTGCCTGGCTTACTCTTCAACACTGATGATGGAGGGGGATGTTCCTTCGAAACGTCTTCTGATTCTGAACAGACTACACTGCTTTCTATCCCACAAGTTAGAACTCTTCAGAACAACATTAACATAAAGGTACCCTAGAATGGAAATTAACAGTTTGTAACAGATTCCAAATTTGGATTAACATTCTACTGACACTGTTGATAATACTCTGACTTCATTAGAATAAAATTAGGGACTGACCATTCCAACATCTCTTACACTAAATTCTGAATTCTAAACTCTGATTTTGAATCCATACAAAAGTTTTAACTTACCCAACCATAGTCCGTAATTCCTCTCTTTTTCTCTCTATTTCTGTCTGTAACTTCTTTTGTGTTTCCAAGATTTCTGAAATAGTAAACTCTTCAAATAATTTATCAGCATTAATATCTAGCAAGTTTTGTACGGGCATTCTGACAGGTACTTCGATTGCAATACTGTGGACAGAATAAGGGAGCCAAGCACTAAACCCTAAAAAAATTTCGTGACAGTAGTACACAGCATTGCAATTTTCACATACGCCTGAACCACCTGATAAACACTACAGCCTACGTAATCTGCAATGTTTACTGTCATGTTACAAAGACTGAAACGTGCTTTAACCACGAAGACCGTGATCACTGGGTAAAATCTTGAATAGGGGAAAGGACAACACGGTAACTACTGCCTCTAAGAGCGGCGGACGAAACTCACGCTGGGCTCGACCAATCAGAGAGCCTAAACAAACCAACTTGAATACCCACAATTCCGTGCGGTTATGGTGGTGCATTATATGCAAATTGGTAAGTATGAATTTTGATTTGATGTGGTTGCGAAACGAAAGTAGACATTTGCGAACGAAATTACAGCTGCATGTCAAACATATTATGTGTGTATATGAATATTATGCTTACTACCACAAATGGAATTAGAAACATAGAATTCTTTCAAGCCTAAAATTTTTCAGGTTATCATGAACTGTCATCTAAATGATATTTTTTTATGATATGTTCTGCAACTTTCTGTTTATCCCAGAGATTGTCTCTTGAATGTGAAAGAGTTCTAAGAGTACCGTGATGGTGTTATAAACACGAAAACAACATTTGCTGCTGCTGGGTGCTTGTCATCCAGCAAGCAAGGCA